CCATCCCTGGGGGGCTGCGATCTGTGAAATTGTCGCCACTTTCGAGGCCTGCTGGGGGGCCCAGCACAGTGGGTACTCACCGCGGACTCAAATTAGACCTCGCCATCCTTGGGGGCCGCGATCTGTGAAACTGTCGCCGCTTTCGGAGCCTGCTGGGGGGCCCAGCGCAGTGGGTACCCACCGCGGATTCAAATTAGACCTCGCCATCCCTGGGGGTTGCGATCTGTGAAACTGTCGCCACTTTCGAGGCCTGCTAGGGGGCCCAGCACAGTGGGTACTCACCGCGGACTCAAATTAGACCTCGCCATCCCTGGGGGGCTGCGATCTGTGAAACTGTCGCCACTTTCGAGGCCTGCTGGGGGGCCCAGCACAGTGGGTACCCACCGCAGACTCAAATTAGACATCGCCACCCCTGGGGGGCTGCGATCTGTGAAACTGTCGCCACTTTCGAGGGCTGCTGACGGGCCCAGCACAGTGGGTACTCACAGCACATTCAAATGGGACCTCGCCATCCCTGGGGAGTTGCGATCTGTGAAGCTGTCGCCACTTTCAAGGGCTGCTGATGGGGCCCAGCACAGTGGGTACCCACCGCAGATTTGAATGTGACCTCGCCATCCCTGGGGGGTTGCGATCTGTGAAACTGTCGCCACTTTCGAGGGCTGCTGATGGGGCCCAGCACAGTGGGTACTCACAGCAGATTCAAATGAGACCTCGCCATCCCTGGGGAGTTGCGATCTGTGAAACTGTCGCCACTTTCAAGGGCTGCTGATGGGGCCCAGCACAGTGGGTACCCACCGCATATTCAAATGTGACCTCGCCATCCCTGGGGGGTTGCGATCTGTGAAACTGTCGCCACTTTCGAGGGCTGCTGATGGGGCCCAGCACAGTGGGTACTCACCGCAAATTCAAATTGGACCTCGCCATCCCTGGGGGGCTGCGATTTGTGAAACTGTCGCCACTTTCGAGGGCTGCTGAGGGGCCCAGCACAGTTGGTATTCACGGCATATTCAAATGGGACCTCGCCATCCCTGGGGAGCTGCGATTTGTGAAACTGCCGCCATTTTCGAGGGCTGCTGAGGGGCCCAGCACAGTGGGGACTCACCGCAGATCCAAATGGGACCTCGCCATCCCTGGGGGGCTGTGATCTGTGAATCTGTCGCCACTTTCGAGGGCTGCTGGGGGGCCCAGCACAGTGGGTACTCACCGCAAACTCAAATGGGACCTCGCCATCCCTGGGGGGCTGTGATCTGTGAATCTGTCGCCACTTTCGAGGGCTGCTGAGGGGCCCAGCACAGTGGGTACTCACCGCAGACTCAGATTAGACCTCGCCATCCCTGGGGGGCTGCGATCTGTGACACTGTCGCCACTGTCGTGGGCTGCTGAGGGGCCCAGTGCAGTGGGTATTCACCGCAGACTCATATTAGACCTCGCCATCCGTGGGGGGTTGCGATCTGTGAAGCTGTCGCCACTTTCGAGGGCTGCTGAAGGGCCCAGCACAGTGGGTACTCACAGCACATTCAACTGGGGCCTCGCCATCCGTGGGGGGGTGCGATCTGTGAAACTGTCGCCACTTTCGAGGTCTGCTGAGGGGCCCAGCACAGTGGGTACTCACCGCAGAGTCAGATTAGACCTCGCCATCCTTGGGGGGTTGCGATCTGTGAAACTGTCGCCACTTTCGAGGGTTGCTGAGGGGCCCAGCGCGTGGGTACTCACCGCAGACTCAGATTGGACCTCGCCATCCCTGGGGGGCTGCGATCTGTGAAACGGTCGCCACTTTCGAGGCCAGCTGGGGGGCCCAGCGCAGTGGGTACCCACGGCAGACTCAAATGGGACCTCGCCATCCTTGGGGGGCTGCGATCTGTGAAACTATCGCCACTTTCGAGGGCTGCTGAAGGGCCCAGCAAAGCGGGCACTCACCTCAGACTCAAACTAGACCTCGCCATCCTTGGGGTGCTGCGATCTGTGAAACGGTCGCCACGTTCGAGGGCTGCTGAGGGCCCCAGCACAGTGGGCACTCACCGCAGACCCAGATTAGACCTCGCCATCCCTGGGGGGCTGCAATCTGTGCAACCGTTGCAACTTTCGGGGGCTGCTGAGGGGCACAGCACAGTGGGTACTCACCGCAGACTCAGATTAGACCTTGCCATCCCTGGGGGGCTGCGATCTGTGAAACTGTCGCCACTTTCGAGGGCTGCTGATGGGGCCCAGCACAGTGGGTACCCACCGCAGACTCAGATTAGACCTTGCCATCCTTGGGGGGCTGCGATCTGTGAAACCGTCGCCACTTTCGAGGGCTGCTGAGGGGCACAGCACAGTGGGTACTCACCGCAGACTCAGATTAGACCTCGCCATCCGTGGGGGGCTGCGATCTGTGAAACTGTCGCCACTTTCGAGGGCTGCTGAGGGGCACAATACAGTGGGCACTCACCGCAGACTCAGATTGGACCTCGCCATCCCTGGGGGGCTGCGATCTGTGAAACTGTCGCCACTTTCGAGGCCTGCTGAGGGGCACAGCACAGTGGGCTTCCCGCACGTCTTTCTCCTGCTCTTCGTTCCCGACTCCCCATGTCCTCTTCGAGCCTGTAGTTGTCGCCCCTCGTTCTTGCATGGTTCTCCTGCGCATCATGCCATAGGCCCGTGTCCCAAGTAGCTTACATATCAAACAACGGATCCTGCAATTTGATTGTCCATGCAAGTTTCGGCCAACTCCTCGTTTCCCATGATACAAATTGGTTGGGTACGTCACAGGGTAATTTTTTGTTCACCCAGGTTTGAGGAGGAGGGTTCTGGAGGTGATGGGTTCTGCCTGTGCCTGCGGAGGTCCTCGGGCCAGATGTGCAGGCCTTCGGGGACTCCTGGGGACCCCTGGCTGCCTGCAGAGGCGCCTCAGGAGGTCCTGGGCCCTCGGAGGCTCCTGGCGTTACCCCGGGGCCCTTGGGGCCGGCTGCCAGGCTCCAGGATGCCGCAGGGATCGGCGGCGGCAGCAGGGGTCGGGGGCGGAAAAGAGGGGGGTGATGACTAGGGGGGGGTGGATATCATGGCGTGGGCCATGATATTTCCCCAGATTTCATGGCGCCTCTTCTTATTTCATTACGTCCCTGGCCCCCCCGCCGGGCCGCGCACATGCCACCGGTCATGATTTGCACCCCCCCCTCTTGGACACCCCCCTCTTGGCCGCTCCCGAAGGGGTGAGGTCGGGCGCGTCCCGCCACAGGCGGATCTGGAACGAAGAACAAAACATAGCAGCAACAATACCCAGCAAATATTCCAAACGGGTCAAAGAATCGTCCCCAGACTATCTTTGGACTGTTTTTGAACACGCCTCCTGTAGAGTAGAGGGACAGGCCCGACTTAACGAAAATAGGGGCGGATAGCCCCGGGGGGGGGGGGGGGGGGCACTGCACGCATCCAGAGGCTCTCGTCGGCCCATGGTCGTCGACGAGGCTCCCCAGCGAGCGCGGGATCGCCGGGCCCGCCCCCCGTGCCGTCCGCTGCGCACGTCTCCGCCGAAGGGAGGCCCCCGCAGGGCCCCGCCCGGGGCCCCGCCCTTCCTCCATAGGGGGGCCCCTCCCGTGGCCCGCGGCGGCGCCGGCGCCAGGGCCGCCCACCTTCGCCGACCTGCAGGAGCGCGCCGCGCGCCGGATCCAGGCCGCGGGGGGGGGGGACGTCAGCCGACCCCCTCCTCCTCCTCCTCTCCTCCTCCTCCTCCTCCTCCTCCTCCTCCTCCTCCTCCTCCTCCTCCTCCTCCTCCTCCTCCTCCTCCTCCTCCTCCTCCTCCCACCTCGCCGATGCCGGCCGGGCCCATCCTGAGCCCAGGACCGGCGCCAGCGCCCTCGCGGCCCGGCCAGGGCGGCGCAGGTCAAACGACGCGAAGATCGGGACAAAATCGGATCGGGATAACTCGAAATCTCTGAGAATCGGCGGGTTTGGAGGATGTAGTGGGCGCCGCGGCCGCTCCAGAGCGTTCCGGAACGCTCTGAGAGCGCTCCGGAACGTGCTGGAGCGATTTGTCCCGATCCTAGCCCTGTTTTACAGGACTGGCCAGGCCCACCCGTCGGGGAACGGGCAACGACAGGAACATCAGCTTTGGGAGGTCCGCGCAGATTTCTCGGATCGGCGCTGGGCCCCCCTCCATGGCCCGCGGAGCGGTCCAGGGGCGGCTCTGGAGGCGCCGCCAGGGGGCCCCGGCGACGGTGCGAGAAATCCGCACGGACCTCCGAAAGTTTATGCTTATGCCACTGCTTGTATAAGGATGGGCCTTGCCAGATCGGTGAGGTGGTCGGTTGACTCACTGGGCCCCGCAAAGTGCCTAACCTCGCAAATGTCCGAACAAAAACATGTCTTCCTCTATGCAATGGATTATGAATCCCCCGCGGCGGGGCGGGGCCATTTGCGAGCAGTTACTCTGCGAGTCGCGGAACCCGCTCGTCTCATGGCGCCAGCCTCGCAGAGAGAAGTTCGTTCGGATTCCGAGGTGAGTTTCCTGCAGATTTTTTTTGGGGCCAGGAATGAAGACTGACAACAGAATCCACGCGACAGTCACGTCGTTTTTCACTCGCTGCTTCCGGGTCTTGCACTGCCAGCACTCCACGCGAAAATCCGCTGCAGCACGTCTGCGAGGTCGGTGCCATGACTCGCCTGCGCAGGGGGCCGCAAGCGAACCCTACCCCTACCCCCCACGATTTCCGAGGGGGAGGCTGGGGTTCCCTTCGCTCGGGAGCTCGCGAGCGAAGTGAACCCCACCCTCCCCCGCAGAACTCGTGGGGGGTAGGGGCAGGGCTCCCTTGCGGCCCCCTGCTGCGGACGCTCCCCGAGCAGGGCGCCTACCGGCGGCGCCTCGCCGCCCGGCGGCCGCCGCTGCGGCGCGCCGGGGTGCCGGCGCCCCGCGCCGTGCCCGGCGCGCCGGCCCGCCCCCGCCGCATCGGCGGCGGCGGCGGCGCGGGCGTCTGCCGCCTGCCGCCGGCGCAGCAGAGGGCCTGGGCGGGGGCAGCGGCGATCGGGGGCGCCGAATCGGGGGGACAGAAGGATAGGGATACGTGTGGTCCCCCTTCGTTTTCGGCCTCTCCTGGTCCTCCTGGGGAATCCTCGTTGTCACCGCTGGATTCGCCTCGAAATTCTGGTCAGAACGCACCCCAAGAGAGGTCCGGGGACAACACGTATCCGTATCTTTCCGCCCCCCAACCGAATGTCACGGAGCGCGTTCCACTGCTCGCAAGGTGCCTGCTCGCAAGCGTCCGAGCAGCCCATGTCTGCTCCGGTATCACTTCTCGCAGATCCTCCGCGGGAGGTCCAGGCCACTTGCGAGTGGTCATGTTGCGAGTAGTGGGACGCGCTCGTCTAGAGTGCAAGCTCAAAGTCCCCCCTGCAGGGGGACAGGTCCGACCTGAGCGTCGTAGGAAAGGAGTGGCGGGCGCTTCCGACCCCGTCGGGCCCAAGGGAGCTCACGGCTCGATGCGGCCCGGCAGGACGTTTGCAGGGAGATGAGCTCAACTTTGAGTCGGGCCTGTCCCTCGGCAGGAAGAGCATTCAAGAACAGCAAAACGATGGTCTGGGGGCGATTCTTGGAGCATTGTGGATTTTCTTGTTTTGAATGTTTTGGATGGCATTTTTCGTTCTTCGTCCATAATCCTCAGGAGAGGAAAAAACACACAGACACAATTTATCTTCGATTCCCCAGAAATATAGGAAAATATGGGAAGTGATGGGGAAGACAGAAACCCAGAAAATATGATAAAATATGGGGAATAGTTTTATTTGTGTGTATTTATTTGTGTGTCCTGGGGCCCCTTCAGTCATGCCCGACCTAATTCCAGCCGTGCTCGCGGGCCTCCCGGAGGCTCCTCGCCGCCACGGCCAGCTCCGCCTGGAAGGACGGGCCGGGGTGGACCCCGGGGGCCGACGGTGGTCCGCTGTTGGGCGAGGCGGGAGAGGCCGCCCAAGTTCAGAGGAGGGCAGGGTGAGACAAGGGTGACGTTTTTGCCTTTTTCGCCTCCGAGGGGCCTCCTCGTCGCCACGGCTGGACGCAGCGTGAAAAATCGGTGCGTTTGGACCCGGGAGGGGTCCGGGGACCGATTTTGAGCCGATTTGGCCACCGTTGTCTCACGGTCGTTGTCTCGCGTTGCCCTCCTCCGACAAGTGGGGGCGAAGTAGGAGGGGTCGGAGGATGCGGCTCGATGTGGAGCCCGAGTCTCTCCACTCAGGCAGCGGCGGAGCCTCTCGGTTTGCCTGTAGGCCCACCAGAGAGTGTTCTGAGGACCTCTTGTGGCCTGCACGAGATGTCCTTGGAACATTTCTGGCTGAGTCTGTCTTGTTTTAACACGTCGGGCTCATGTTCAAAGAGCATTGTTTGGGTTCTCAGAACATGTCGTGGTATGCCTATATGAATGCTGGGACGGTCGGTCCCTGCTCGACAGATGGGGTCCGAGAAGAAGGGGTCGGAGGATCGCGACGCATGGCCGATGCACCGCCGATGCGGCTCGATGTGGAGCCCGATTCTTTCCGCGCTAGCGTCGCCTGCACCACCGACGTCGCCGATGCGTCGCCGATGTGGCGCGATCCTCCGACCCCACCTGCTCGGACCGCATCTGGGAGGCCTCTAGCATCAGTGGTTCAGCGCTGACGGGGGGCAGCCGTTCCCCTCCGATCCCCTCTGGCTGGCTCCAGGTTTGGGTGCCATGTGGAGGCGCCCCCCCGTTCCTCCTCGCTTCTTCACGGCCAGGTTTTGCACATGGCCTGGGCGGCAGCGGCGACTCGCTACAAAGACCAATTACGTAACACATGCATAAGCGTAAACTGTCGGATAGCCTCGCAGACTTCTTGGATCTGCGCTGGACCTCCTGGCGGCGCTTCAGGCACCGTCCATGGCGATTCGAGAGTTCAAGCTCGTGTCTCGTTGTTTATCGAGGACCGAGGCTCGGAGGTCGGGGAACGCGTTGCAAGCGTCGAGCTTCCAGGATCGAGGCTCGAGGGCTGGGATTCGAGGGTCGAGTTTTGCGACGACGACGACGATGACGACGACGACGACAGCTATGGCGGCGGCGGTAACGGCGTCGGCGACGGCGACGGTAACGACGGTAACGACGGAGGTGACGGTGGCGGCGGTAACGGCGACGGCGACGGCGACGACGACGACGGGGCGGTAGCGACGACGGCGGCGGCGGCGGCAACTGACTGCGGCGGCGGACGCGGTGGACGGCGGTGGCAGCGGCGATCTTCCAAAGGGTCTCCTGGGATGCCCCCCAGGAGCTAGGGCCGGTCCTGGGGAGAGTCACAGAGCGCACGGGGCCCGTGCTTTCGGGGGCTCTCCCACCCACCAAGTCGGGGAGCGAAACCTTCGCAGGCCAAGATTTTTGAAGGACCGCAGGGATCTGTGGGACCATAAGGACGTGTGTTAACCCAACTTGTGTTAGTATCCTCCTCCTCCTCCTCATCATCATCACCATCACCATCACCATCATCACCATCATTATTGTCATCATCATGAGCATCATCATCAGCAGCATCATCACCAACACCATCACCATACACATCATCATCATCGTCATCATCATCATCACCATCATCATCATCATCATCATCATCATCATCATCATCATCATCATCATCATCATCATCATCACCATCATCATCATCACCATCATCGTCGTCATTGTCATCATCAACATCAACATCAGCAGCATCATCATCATCATTATCATCAGCATCACCATCATCATCACCATCATCATCATCATCATCATCATCATCATCATCATCATCATCGTCATTAAGGTCATCATCATGAGGTCCGCATGGATTCTCAGGATGCGTTTTAGCTCAATGTGTAGTGTGTGTGTGTGTGTGTATGTGTATGTGTGTGTGTGTGTGTGTGCGTGTGTTTTGCCATGTTCGGCCTGCGTCGGCCATCGTTACAGCTCCTTGAGAAATTGTTGACGCTTCGCGTATCCCCACCAGCCCATCCAGAAACGATGCTCAGGGGAGTTGAGGTGATCAGGGAAGTCGGGGAGCATGCAGAATAACAAAGGGCGGGGGAAGCTGTCACAGACCCCGAGAGGGGGAGGATGGAAGAGGAGTCGTCGTCGTCGTCGTCGTCGTCGAGGAGGAGGAGGAGGAGGAGGAGGGGGAAGAGGAGGAGGAGGAGGAGGAGGAGGAGGACGGAGAAGGAGGAAGAATCGGAGGAGGAGGAGGAGGAGGGGAAGGAGCTTCTTGGGGGTCTTTTGAGGGCCTCTTGGAGGGCTTTTTGGGCGCCTTGGGGCATCTTGGGCGCCTCTTGGGACCCTCTTGAGGCGCTCTGGGGAGCCTTCGGGGCGCTTTTGGGGCCATCTTGGAGGGAGTCGATCAAACAAGAGGGGGGGTTTAATTAGCGTCCCCCCTCGGAAGCCCCTAAAATCGCCTCTTGGACCCCTCTTGGAACGCTCTTGGAGTGCTCTTGGGCGCTCTTGGGGCCGTCTTGGGGCTCTTTTGGGGCTCTCTTGGGGCCCTCTTGGGCCATCTTGGAGCCATCTCCAGGCCTCGGATGGCCATCGGAAGCGAAAAGGCGAGAAAGCAAAAATCATTGATTTTCCTTAGGTTTTGGGACGATTTTGGCCTCTTCGGGGCCTCCTTGGGGAGCTGTTTGGCCACTTGGAGTTATCTTGGGGCCGTCTTTGGGCTTCTTGGAACCATCTTAGGAGCCATCGTGAGCGATCTTGCGCTATCTTGAGCCATCTTGGAGCTCATCTTGGGTTCTCTGAGGCGCTCTTGGAGCCGTCTTGGGCCATCTTGGACGCTCTAACTACCCGCGGCCCCCCCCGTCCAGGTCCAGGGGAGGGGGTAGGGGGAGGGGTAAACCCCTCCCCAAGGGGGAAGAGGGAGGGGTGGAAGAGGATCTGCTCTAGACCACCTACGCCCAGAGGGCTGGTGGGATTTTTGGAGATCCGCAGGGATCTGTGGGTCGGAAGACGCGTAAGGGGGGGGCGATTAATGGCAGCGAGGGCTGCCGAAAAGGGGCCCTTTAGGCCCCTGAAGGGGCCGTTTAGGGCCCAGAAGGGGGCATTCGGGCCCGAAACAGTTTTTCACCTCCCCACTTATCGCCCCCAATGCATTCGCGCCCCAAGTGGGATCAGCCCGAGGATACTCAGGACGTGTGTTAGCCCAATGTGTGTTCCCCCTGTTCGGCCTGCGTCGGCCATTCTCGCAGCACCCTCGTCGTGTGGAAGGGCTTCGGTGGACCAGCATACGTTGGCGCTGGCGCACGTTCTGAGGATCATCGCTGGTTCTCCGCCCCCCCCCCCCCCGTGTTGTCTCTCTGCTCGCCCCGAGGCGGCGCGAGCGCGGGAGGCGGTCCGCCAGGGCGAGGTCGCGAGGCTGGAGCAGCTGCTGCTCCTCGCCCGCGACGCCAGCTGCTGCGGCGAGTGTGACGACCGCGCCTTCGGGCTGCAGTGCGTCCTCGAGGCTCTGTGTGGGGCGGCAGCCGTCCTGCCACCGCGCAACCTCCTCGTCGTCCTCGTGCCCCTTCTCTCGCTCTCTCTCTCTCTCTCTTCCGCCCTGTCATCGTCCTCCTCCTGCTCCTCCTCTTCCGCCTGCTTCCTGCTTCCTGATGGCATGAGGGTGCTCGGCACGCTGCCGCCTTCCCCAGAGCTGGCCATCCGACCTCGGGGGGAGCAGAGAAAAAGGCAGACGACTGGGGACAGTCGAGGCTGTATAAGCACGGCAGCACTAGGGCTGCTACCCAGGGCTTGATCGGTGCACCCCAGACCTCCTCGGTGCCAGGACCGCCGCACTCTTCGCCAGCCCTTCTCGGGTGCAGCGCGAACCCTAATCGACTCGGCGGGTGGGGCAGCCAGGGTGCAAGGGCGCGGCGGCCGCAACAACCCAGCCTCGGGAGCGGTTCGGGTGCGCCTTGCGGTTCCTTGGAACCGCCTTCTGCGGCGCTGTTTCCCATCCAATCCTACAAACATCCCCCCATCACTCATGAAAGAAACGGCCTTCCGTGCACGCCAATCGGCTGAGAGATACCGACACGCCACAGGAACACGGGGGCGGAATGGGCGGGGCTCCAGTCAGCCGCTGTTCGTCTCGGGCGCCGCTGCGCTGGGACATTCATCACTACATCAGCGTGCTCGGTCGGCAACAGGTTGCAAAGGAAGCAACCGAGCGACCGCAGTGAATGCCATCTCCTCCATCTCTCAGCCTACACACAGCCTCCACTCAATGTCTTGGGCATCAAGACTGAAGGCATAACGACCTGGCCGATCGTACACGCATCGTCTCGGGCGCCGCTACGCTGGAACGTGCCCCACAACATCAAGGTGCTCGATACACAGCGGGGTGCAGAGGAAGCAACCAGGCGCTCGCAATGAATGCCGTCTAACCCCCCTCCACCCATCCATCCTGAAGATGAAGCATCCGCTCCCTCCCTACTTCTCGGGAGCCAAGACTAGTGGCAGAAAGAAGTGACCACAGAAGCAAAACAGCTGAAAGATACCGACTCCATAGAGAGGCTGCTGGAGTCGATGGTGCTACTGGAGTCGGCTGTGCTGCAGCCGGAGTCGGTATTGCTGCTGGAGTCGGTGCTGGGGTCGGCGGCGCCGCGAGAGTCGGTGGCGATGGAGTCGGAGGCGCTGCTGCTGGAGTCGGTGATGCTGCCGGAGTCGGTGGTTCTGATGAGCTCCGTGGTGTTGCTGGAGTCAGCGGCGCTGCTGCCGAAGTCGGCGGTGTTGCTGGAGCCGGCAGCGCTGACGCCGAAGTCTGTGTTGTCAGTCTGGGTGGTGCTGCTGAGGGCAGTGATTCTGGCGGAGACTGCTGCTGGGTGCCCTAGTGGCGCCTCAGGTTGGCAGCCCGACTGTCGCCACAGCCCGACGGGGCTGTGGGAGAAACTCTTGCCCTGTGGTTTGCCAGCCGCAGAAGGTGCGGGCCCGCCGTGCCCCCCCTGAGAGGCCCGAGGGGGGCACTCGGAGGGGTCTCCCGCCGGGGGGGGGCGCGGGAGCTGAAGTCCTCGGGCAGCGGGGTCTCCGCTGCCGGAGGCTGGCGGCCAAGTGGGGGTGGTGCCGGTTGCCATGTCTCGGGGTGGCGTCTCGGGGCGCATCGCAACGGCGGCGCAGATGAGACGCCTGGGGCGTGTCTATGCTGCCATTCATGTTGCGAGGTCCGACTGCCTGTGCATTCATGCAGGCACCTTGGGCACCTTCTGTCGGGCTGTGTCGTCCAGGTGCTCTATCCAGGCAACAAAGAATCTGGTGGAGACTGTGCTGCTGCTGGAGTCTGTGGCGCTGCTACTGTTGGGGTCGGCACCGCTTCTGCCGGAGCCAGTGGTGTTGCTTTAGTCTGTGGTGCTGGTGGGTTCGGTGGTGTTGCCGCTGTTAGTGGTTCTGCTGGAGTCGGCGCCGCTGAGGTCAGCGGTGCTGCCGGGGTCGGTGGTGGAGCTGGGGTCGGTGGCGCTTCTGTCGGAGTCGGCGGTGCTGCTCGAGTCTGCGGTGCTGCCGGAGTCGGCGGTTGTGCTGCAGTCGGTGGTGTCATTAGAATCATCGGCGCTGATGCCTGAGTCGGCGGTGCTACCAGAGTCGGCGGTGTTGCCTCGTACAAGTCGCTTTTGTGGCTGTTGTGGTTGTCGTGGTAGCTGCCGAAGGGTCCATCCTCGTACAAGTCGCTGTCGTGGTTGTCGTGGTAGCCGTCGTGACTTGTGTCCTCGAAACAGTCGTTGTTGCGGTTGTGGTTTCCCCAGTGACTGCCGTGGTGTGCTTGCACGTAAGAGTTGCTGCCGTGGTCATTGTGGCTGTCGTGGTGTCCGCCGCGGTGTGCTTGCACATGGGAGGTGCTGTCGTAGCTGTCGTGGTCGTCGTGGTGGCAGCTGTGGTGTGCTTGAACGTAATTAGGAGGTGCTTCGTGGCTGTTGTGGTGAACGCCGTAATGTGCGTGTTTGTAACAGCTGTTGTGGTGACTGTCGTGGTGGTTGGTGGTTGTCGTGAAGGTTGTCCTGGCGCTTGGTGGTTGGTGTAGTGGCTGTCGTGGTGCTTGGTGGCAGTCGTGGTGACCGTCTTTGTGTCTATCGTGATGGTTGTCGTGTGGCAATCGTAGGGACAGCTGTGGTGGCTGTCGTGTTCATGTTTGCGTGCTGGTCGGGTAGTCCGCTGGTCGTTGGTCTGCCTTGCGATGGTCTGCCGGCGTGGGTGGATCGCGGGCTGGGTCGTTGGATAGGGGGTCGTGCGGGTGGTCGGCGAATCGGACCTGTCGGAGTCGTGCTGCCCGTCGTTGGCCGCGTAGGAAGGCTGGCGTCGGTGCTGTCGTGAAGGCTCGTGCGGGCGTCTGTGCTGGTGTAGGTGCTGACGCCGATGCTTGTGTCTGTGCTGGTATGGGTGCTTTGCTGGTCAGAGGTCTGTAGCCTGGTGGTTGGTGGGCGTGTACGTTGCACATGTCGTAAGAGACAATGTCGTTGTCATCATGGAAGCCGCCTGAAGCCCGCGACGGCGGATGCGGCACTGCAGGTAAATGAGTACATTGCGCATCATACGCTGGAGGGGGCGGTACAAACCATAACGGCGGCATGCTTGGTAGGTGGAGTGGGAGGTGGAGTCGGCGGTCAGTGGGTCTGTTGGTCAATCGTTGGTGGTCTGCTGGTCGGTGTCTTGTGGTCTGCTTGTCAGTGGGTCTGCCAGTCAGTCGGTGGTCGGTGGGTCTGCTAGTCGGTGGGTGTGCTGCTGTGTTGTATACTGCTTAGCCTGCTGGTCTGCTGGTTGCTGGGTGGCCAACTGGTCTGATCGATGGTCTGCTGGAAGGGCTGCTGGCCAGTAAGCCTGCTGGTTCGGAATGCGTGTGCCATTCCAGTCATGGTCACCGTATTTTGAAAAGAGCTGCGAAGCATGTTTAACCTGTGCGCTTTCTCGTTTGCTGCCAATGGGGATGCAAGAGATGGTTAGTCCTGGATCCTTGACGGCGATGTGAGTACGATGTGTTCGTCCCGAGAATCCGATCCTACGGAATGCCTTGGCCCTTCGGCCTTCTTCAAACAGAGTTGGACGCTGTCGATAAGAGCACTATCTGCGGCCCATCCTGGCCTCAACGCATTTACGGTAAGGGGAAGTGAGAGACAGTGAGAGACAGCGATAAATTTGGAAACGAGGATGTAATGTGTGACATTGTGCGTTGGGGAGTACCTCGTCGCTGTTGCCCACGTGAGGGCGACGCGCATCGTCCCGGGCCCGCTCGGGCCCGCCGTTCTCTTCCTCCTCCTCCTCCTGCTCATCCATCTGCTTCTTGTCCTCGTCGCCCTCCGTACCTCATCATCTCACTCATCTCCCCTTCCCGGCTCGCACTATCACAGCCTCCACGCTTTCTGCGCATCGTTCGCCCTCTGGGGCCATCCTGGGGGATATCGCTCAAAACGGGGGCGGCACCTCACCGATCGTGGCCAGACCCACCCTGGGCACTCCGGACGGGTGTACCAGGCCCTCTTCGGCGGCGAGCGAGGGGGAGAACTGAGAAGGAGAAGGACTTCTCAGAAGGCGGCGGGACTTCTCAGGAGCCCTCGCGCCCTTCTGAGAGGTTTTTTTTTGTGTCTTCGGGGAAGGTTTTGAAAACGTTTCAGAAGGCCAGGGGACTTCCGAGCCTTCCGGGAAGGCCCGCCCCTTCTCACTTCCCCCCGCGCTCGCCGCCAAACTCTGGATGGGTGTTTCAGACCATCTCGCGTCGTGAACAAAATCACGACGGAGGGTTTCCGGCCGTCTTCGGCCTTTGGGGGCCTTTACCAGGGCCCAGGGCTGTCAAAGCACGGCTCAGGATGAGACGTTCGTCCCGGGGAAGGACGTCCACCTCCTGAGATGTGTGTTGTGTGTGTGTGAGAGAGAGAGAGAGAGAGAGAGAGAGAGAGAAAAGGACGTCGGCAGAGTTCTGGGTGACCACCTCACCGATCCAGGGCCAGGTCGGTTCGTGACATGGCCGGGGAGGCACAGCCACCGACCAGGATCGACCTGGCCAGGACCCATTATGCGGACCATCCCAGACATCCGATCCTTTTTTTCAAAGAGAAAGGAACAACCATAACGCGGTTCCACAGAAGTCTGAATCCCTTCCGAGGGACCGTCTTTTCATCCGGAGTATATTTTTGACAGCCTCACAGCCGCGTGCCTACAGTGCCGTTTTTAATACATGCTCCGCGTGCGGATCATGTATTAAACATGCAGGGATTTAGTATTAAAAATAACGATGAGTTCATGCAGGAATTTATTCATACATTTGTCATGTATTAAACATCCCATATCTAAAACATCATATGTATTATAAGCTGCCCTGTAGGGAGGGCTCCCTGAGGTCGAAAACATTCCAGCATTTCCAGTCGTGTTTTGCTTCTCAGCGCGAGGGCATCTTGGGGGTTGGCGCCATCCGCCCAGGCGCTGGCCGGCGTCTGCCGGCCGATGCTGGAGGGGTCCAGCTGGCCGGCCGCCGTGTTGCTCGGCCAGGTCCGGTGTCGCGTAAGCTGTGGCCTTCTCGTCTGACATACGACATGCTTTCGGACATGCTTTGCGTCGAGCAGGTCAAATATTGCGATGTCCAAGGGCCGTAACAGTCACTCCAGTTCGCCCTCCGACTCAGGGTCCGTGGTGGTGCCAAGGGGCACCAGCATGTCGTATGGAAGCCCAAAGTGGCTCTCGGTGGCGTTCTGGGTGCGCGGCTTTCGGTGGCTGCGCGGGGGGGGGGGCAAGCCCAAGGTCGCACGCCGCTTCTGCCTAGGCCTCCCAAGTGGGGTCCGAGTGGATGGGGTCGTAGGATCGTCGATGCATCGCCGACGCCGTGCGATGCATCGGCCATGCCGCTTGATGTGGCGCCCGATTTTCTCCTGGCCGACGGCGTCGATGCATCGGCGATACGGCGCGCTCCTCCGGTCCCTGTCTAATTACTCGGATTCCATCTGGAAGGCCTTTAGGCTCGTGTCGCACCGCACCGAGCGGCGGGCAAGCCGCGCAGCAGAGATCACTCCTTGCCGCTGTAGGGTCGCTGCTTGCGTGTGCAGCCGGCAGGTGTCGGCGGCGCTGGAAGAGTGCGCCGCGTCCCTGCGGCGCGCGGGGGCGGCGGCGCCGCTGGGCGCGCTCGAGCGGCAGTTGGAGGAGCTCGCCGCGGAGGCCTCGAGCAGAGCCATCGTCGGAGGGGGTGTCAGTCGTCTTCGCTGCGCACCACGCCGATCCTGGCCAGGCCCATCATGGGCCCATGACCAGGGCACGCGCCTCCCTGGCCAAGCCACGAGTGATGGGCCTTTCCACCACCACCACTGTAAGTTGGAGGGGGGAAGGAAGTGGAGGAGGAGGAAGAAGAGGAAGAGGAGGAGGAGGAGGAGGAGGAGGAGGAGGAGGAGGAGGAGGAGGAGGAGGAGGAGGAGGACCCCCTCCCCCTCCAACTGATGGTGTTGGTGGGCACATCAACGAGGGCGCAAGCACCGATCCTGGGCCCAGCTGGGCCCGAGCAGGATCGGCGCGGTGTGTATGTAGTCAGCGCCCGCCGAAGTCGAGGCAAGGGCAGTCCTCGATGGGTCTTTCGTTTCTTCAGAGCGTGAATTACCTACCCCGCTTTCGCTTCCAGGCGAAACCAAGCCATACCACGCGCCTCCTCGTCTAGCGGCCTGACCAGTACAGGCTGCAATTTGGCATCGTTTGGTATCTCTTGGAAGCGAGGGTGGTCAAAAGCGAGGGAGGTTTGTTTTCCCCCTATTTCTGGTCTTGCCTGGACGATATAGCCGCCGCCACGGCGGATCCGCTCCGAAAAACAGATCAGGACGGACCCCGGGAGGGGCCCAGGGACGGACTTTGAACGGACCTGGTCGACCGACAAACACACGGCATCTCCCCACCTGCGGCCCTCCATGTTGCGCTGCGGCCCGTCGGGGGCCGTAGCGTACACCACGCAGCATCCCTCGCCGAGTTCCCTGGCATACGCCTGAGCCCCCTGGGGCCGCAGGTGGGGTGTCGTTGGCTTCCAGGTCCATCCAGGCACGAAGCTTGAACGGATCTGGGCCGCGCGCATGCGCCGCCGCTGCCGGGCGCACGCAGGAGAGACCACTCGCCGGCCTCACCCCAACAAGCTTCTACTATATGTGTATGTGCGTCGCCCCCCCCCCCTCCCCCAGGGGCGACGCGCGCACCGAGCAACCTTACCGTATATGCATCGTAGCGGGCGCTTTCTCGCCACCCCGCTCGGGAAACTGTATACTGATATACTACAAGATGGGTCTACTGTATGTTCGGGTCGGACGCGCGCCTCCAAGGAGGACATATACGGTGGGGCGTTGATTCAGGAATGTGCCCAGGAGGCTGCAGACCCTGAAATATTCCTTATTTGATGAGGGCCTCGGTGCTGTCCATGGCCAAGCCTCAATTGGAGTTTGACTAGCCTCCAGACCCTGGATTCCTTGCGGCATCTTGCCGAGTGTGGAATGTATCTTGTAAAGCAGTCGCATCGTCGGCTTCGTAGGTTAAGCCACCTCAGGGCCCAACCCGAGGGCAGCTTAGAGGTTTCGCTTTTTCTCTTGGAGCAGCGGCTCCTATCGAGATGCGCTGGCTTTCTGCCTCCCTTTGGAACTGGACCCCATGAGCTAGAAAGAAAGAGGCCGGGAGTTCTGCAGCGCCCAGCGGGAGGACCTCGGCGGGCCGCGCGGGGGGGGTGGGAGGGCCGAGACGCACAGGAGGGACGTACGAGGAGGAGGAGGAGGAGGAGGAGGAGGAGGAGGAGGAGGAGGAGGAGGAGGAGGAGGAGGAGGAGGAGGAATGGCGTGGAATGGCGTGGATGTGCACACACGTGCGCTCCGCGGGGGGCCAGCGCTGGACCTGACCAGCCCTGGACCCCCCGACCACCGCGGGGGCCAGCGCTGGACCTGACCAGCACTGGGCCCCCGACCGTGCAGTGGAGCACGGAGACGCCGACGAGCACCGCGGCGCGCGGCGAACTCAAGGGCGGAAGGAGGCGACGGTCAGGCCCTCCCGCTCCAGGACGGCCAAGAATGCACCACGGCGCTTCTTCGGCTCCACGGCACCCTGCACGAAGCCCGACCCACCGCCAGGGGCACGAACAGCGGCCGACGCAGCCTCCGAGATGCCGTCGCCCTCGCCCTCCTTTCCGCCCCGCACCGCGCCTGCCATCGGCGCCAGCGAGACCTGCGCGTCCATGAACTCGTCGGCGACCGCGCCGACGCACGCCTCCCCCTGCACCGCGAAGGAGCCATCCGACACAGCACCCTCAGCCGACTCCATACGTCGAGCTCCAGGGTAGCCACACGCCGCAGCCGCGCCAGCGTTCCGCAACGGCTCGGGATGAGCCACGCGACGGGCAGCCACCTCCAAGTCCACGTCCACGCTCTCGCAATACTCGGACTCCGTTACGCACGGCATCTGCGCCGCAGGGGGCTGGATCAGCGCGAACGCCTTCGCCATGGCTGCCTCCGAAGGCGGCCACACGGGCGAAGCGCCAGGCAACGGCCAAACCGCGGTACCGCAGTTGCAGCGCACGCCCACCGCGCGGCAGGCAGCCCGCGGCACGAACGGCGTGGCCTCAGCCCGCATGCCACCAGCAGTGTGCCCCAGCCGAGGCCCAGCAGCAGCCCAGGACAGATCCGCCGAGGACGCGGCCGTGAAGCCGCCAGGCGGCACTCGGCACGCGTGCCAGGCAGTGTTCCGCCTCAGCCGCATCGCGCCAGGAACACGATCTCCTGCAGCAATCCTCTGCAGAGTCGGCCTCGACGCGCGCTCGCGGTCCACCCACGGGCCCGGGGCGCCGCGTGCCGCCACGAGCGGCCGCAGAGCTGCTTCCAGAGCAGCGCGACCGCGCCGCCGAGCAGCACGCCTCGCCGCGGAGGCGCCGAGAAAGTCCTTCTCCATGATCCTCAACTCACTGGGCCGCCACATCGGCGGGCAGCCCCCCGCAGCCATCCAGGGCGCGCCCGCCGCCGACGCCGCCGCCGCCGAGCCGCCGAACATGGGCGAAAAGGCTGCGGAGAAAGCGGGGAACACGGCCCGAGCCAAAATGGCTACGGAGGAGGAGGAGGAGGAGGAGGAGGAGGAGGAGGAGGAGGAGGAGGAGGAGGAGGAGGAGGAGGACCCCTTTTGGTTCCTTATCTCATGCCCACACGGTAGGATCAGCATGTCCCTGTGCGTCCCCACTCGCCCAAGGGGATACCTCCTCGGGCGCAGCCTTCGGGCGCCTCCCTGCGGGACCGGGCCCGAGCTCGCGGTCCCGCCCCCCCCCGGCGCGCCGCGCTCCGCGCTTTGGCAGGCCGCGCCGCGAAGGTCCGCGCTGTCGCTCTGGACTCGCAGGCGATTTCTCTCCCCCAATCCCCGACTTCCGCCAGAAAAGTTTGGTCGCTCAGAAAAGGGGAGGAATCTTGGGATACATCCCGAGGGAGCTATTCGGACGCACCCCTGTCGAGGATGGACGCCCCCCCCCTCGTATATCCCAGGGTTGGGCCCCAAATTGTTGATCCTCTCGAAAACCTCACGGAGCCTGGGATAGGGGTCGACGCATCCCCTGTTATGGACGCCCGAAATGGGCACGGAAAGAATGGGTACGATGCCCAACAGAAGTTCTTGTTCATTTTGAGCAGGACTCGCTGTCCGCGCCGCCGCGGCCTGTGTCCATTCGAGACAGGAGGTCGCCCGCCCAACAGCGGCCGCTGTTGGTTCGGGACGTCATTTGCTGTTGGGCATTGTGCCTATTCTTTCCGTACCTATTTCGGGCGTCCAAAGTCGCGGGCGGCTTTTCGCCCCCAGGCTCAGGCCGGGCATGTTCGCCTGCAGGCGAGTCCTGGACGAAGAGAACAAAAGACAGCCAGGAAGTATTCGACAGCTGCCAGAAGATAAGAGAAGCGTCGTCCCCGGACTGTTTCTTTTTTTGACGGTTCTGGGAGTACTCCTCCTGTAGAGGGGCGTGCCCGACTGAACCCCAGTCCCCGAGTTCCGCCCGGAAAGGTTGGCCGCTCAGAAGAAGGGGGGAACCTTGCGGTACATCCCAATCAGGCGATCGCAAACATGGATCAATGGGGGCGTGGATTAACGACGGGTCCCGTTTCCATGGGAAGTCGCGGATTCCCGCCGCCGAGCGAGGCGGCACCGGCCGCATTTTGGGGAGGGCACTTCCCCCGATCCATGGATTTGGCGACCGCGCGCCACATCCATGGATCGCTAATCCACGTTTGCCCGCCCCCGATCCAAGGGGGCTCTTCGGACGCACCCCCTATCGAGGACTGACGGCCCCCCATCGTGTATCCCAGGGTTGGGCCTCGAATTTCTGGTCCATTCCAAAACCTCACGAAGCCAGGGATCGTGACAGGGAGGAGGAGGAGGAGGAGGAGGAGGAGGAGGAGGAGGAGGAGGAGGAGGAGGAGGAGGAGGAGGAGGAGGAGGAGGAGGAGGAGGAGGAGGAGGAGGAGGAGGAGGAGGAGGAGGAGGAGGAGGAGGGAGGAGGAGGAGGAGGAGGAGGGAGGAGGAGGAGAGGAGGAGGAGGAGGAGGAGGAGGAGGAGGAGGAGGAGGAGGAGGAAGGAGGAGGGGGAGGAGGAGGAGGAGGAGGAGGAGGAGAGGAGGAGGAGGAGGAGGAGGAGGAGGAGGAGGGAGGAGGAGGAGAGGAGGAGGAGGAGGCGGAGGAGGAGGAGGAGGAGAGGAGGAGGAGGAGAGGAGGAGGAGGAGGAGGGAGGAGGAGGGAGGAGGAGGAGGAGGAGGAGGAGGAGGAGGAGGAGGAGGAGGAGGAGGAGGGGTCGACAGATCCCCTGTTGTCCTGCCCAGGGTCACTCTTGCGAGTCCGGCGGTGTCTCAACTGGCCTCCCCCCTCCGACAATCGGCGGCCGCGACGGGGCTGGCGCGGGCCGCCGCCCGCGCGGAGGGGGCGAGGCGGTGGCGACGTTCGCGCACTCCGCGCTCTCGTCGCTGCGCTCGCCCGCTGCTCAAACGCCTTCTCGACCCCTCTCCACCCCCTTCCTCATCCCCTGAGGTCCTGGCGTCTCAATCTTTTCCGAGCCGGGCGTTTTCGCATCATTTTGGGCCCCGGATGACCCTCAGACGGATCGGGCTCGAACAATTGCGCGGAAAGATGGGCCTGGAGCTCCGCGCGTGACTTTTTACGATGTTGCAGCTGTTCGCTGCGTCGGATCTCAGGGTCCTCTCTGCCCTCCGCGCTGCCCCCCCCCCCCCCCCTCTGTTTCCTCCAACCCCCTGGGCCTGCCCGCCCCTCCCCCTCGTGACACCCCCCCCTCGACCTCGCCGTCCACCTAGTGTTCCCCCCTCGCCTATCGGGGGGCCTGCGCCCAGTTTTGAGTCGGGCCTGTCTTCTGCAGAGAGGGTTTTGACGAACACTTTAAAACAGCCCAGAAGTGCACCAAAATGGCCAACAGATATCCAAGTAGTCGTCCCCGCACTCTCTGTGGACTGCCTCTGAATCTTACTCCTGCCGAGGGCCACGTCCGACTGGAGCCCAGTTCGTCACCACCCACCAAACCACCCCAACCCAACCCGAAGACCCAAATTTATCCTCGATTTCCAGTGGGGGGGGTCGGGGAACGCTGAAAAAACACATGGAACCCGTACCCCCCCCAACCCGAAATTCGGGTCAAATTCGGGTCTTCGGGTTGGGTTGGGGTGGTCTGGTTGGTAGTCAGTTCGACAGGTCAAGCACGCGGATCGTGCCCCGGGCCCTGCCCCCCCCCCCCCCCCCTGTGCTCCTGCCACCCTCCCGTCGCAGCAGCTGTGGCTCCTCTTGGGCAGAACCGCCGCACGGCGCCGCTCGGTGGCCTGCCTCGCGCTGCCCGCGCTGCAGTCGCGGCAGGATCTCGCCCTATCGCATGATGTCCAGCACTTGCCTTAAGTCGGGCCTGTCCCTCTGCAGGAGGAGTATTTCGAAGTAGTTAAGAGATCGCGTGGGGAGTGTTTTTTGTTTTTGTTTTTGTTTGTTTTGTTTATACATATATATATATATATATATATATATATATATTTTTTTTTTGTTTTTTCCAGTAAAACACAACTATGTTCGGACTCTTTTTGACATTTGTTTGGGTACTTTGTATTTTTCCTCCCAAATCCGCCTGTAGGGGGACACGCCCGACCCAACACTTGTCAGCAAAAGTGATGACCCCCCCTCCTCCCCCCGTGGATCCCGACTGCCATTCACTCGCTGCCGCCTAACTACTTATGAACAGTCCCCCACCCTGGAACATATTCCACGGAGACCGAACGATGTGACTGCTCTATACACATCTGTACGTGTGTATATATATATATATATACGTATTAAAAGAACACATGTGTATGTATACACACGCTCGCACGCGCATGCATTGGCAAATGCGTCTGAACTGTATGCGTGCGGGTGAGCATTTCTCGTCTTATTGGGACACTGAACGTGCGTACGCGCGCGACCTCGCGCGCGTGCGCGCGGTGGCGTCAAACACTCGCGTTCGGTAGTCTTTGGTGCCTGATGGGCCCAGCGCTCGGCTCCCGCGTACAATGCGGCCAATTCCGCAGGATCGCCGCGGGCGCGGCGGCTTCCGCAACCGACGCGTTGCGGCCTTGCCCTTTGCGGACTGCGCGTTGTCCCACACGGACTGGGCCAGGGCCGCCGCGCACACGGCGGCCTCGCCGCTCGCGCATGGTGTGCTCCCCTACAAAGGATGGGGCAAGGCCGCGGCGGCCTTTTCCCTCGCGCACCGTGCGTCCTCTCGCGCAGAACGGGCCAGCGCCGCCGCGCGCGCGGCCGCCCTGCCCTCCGTGCATGGTGCGTCCTCCCACACAGAAGGCCAGGGCCGCGGTGCGGAGCTTCTTCGGCACATGTGAGGATGTGCGCGGGGTGGTCCCGGAGCGCGGTCTCGATCCCTTCCAGGTCGCAGGGCGCGTCAGGTGTGGCACTTCCGCGGCCCAGAGAGGGTGCGCAGGTGGGGGACACCTGAGCAGAGTCTCCATCCACGCCAGGGCCGCAGGGCGTGGCGGTGGCCCGACGCCACGAGGGGTGCGCGGGAACGTGCCTTCTGAACGCGGAGCGCCAAGGCGGTCGCGGGGACGTCCCTGGCGGTCCAGTTTGCCCCGGCTTCTTGTGTGACTTATATGCGCATTACGGCGCTGGGTATAACTTTGGCTTGACAGTCCCCCACGTTTTTGTTATACGAACATTGGTTTTCAGACATTACGTAATGACCCCGCGGTTCTGCTCCATTGTTTTGGCCCCCCCTTCGGGCCCCTATCGGGCTTCCCCCGTCGTCCCCCGTATTCTATGCCTCCCTGATGTTTCAATGTCCTCCTGCTCCTCCTGCCCTTGCAGCTCTCCCCCTAATCATCTTTCTGCTTCTCCTCGTCTTTCTCCTGTCCTCCCCTCCCCGTCCATCCCTGTTTCTTTCCTTTCCGCTTGCCTTGTTCTATTCATCAGTGTTTTCCCTCCCTTCTATTGGTCGTCCTCACTCCTTCACTTCTCTTCCTCCTCCCCCCCTCTTCACTCCCACCTGCCTCCCTCTGTCCTCTTTCTTTCCTCCATATCCCCCCATCCACTCCATTTCTGGCCCTCATCCTTTTCTTATCCTTCCATTCCCCTCCTCCCCACCCCCCATCTAGGACGTTGGAACAGGGTTGATGGTTCGAAAGGGGCGGGTTCGGTATTCCATGCGTAGGGCTTCCCTCTGGCGGTCCCAGCAAGCTTCTGCCGTGATCTTCGGCACTTGGAGGAGGAAAAGGAGTGCGATTGGTGTTGGCGTCTTGGCCTTGGGCAGAGGTGTAGGTGCATGGATAGGTGGTGGCGGTGGCCTTGTCCTTCTTGGGTCTGAAGTCGAGTTGTGGTAGATATTGCTGCTGCGGCGTAGGTATATGTGTCCAGTGCAGTGTGTTGCGGAGCATGTCCTTGTAGTCGTATTCCGCTTGCTGTCATTGCCTTCGT